AGCACCCCAAGGGCGGCCCGGGACACCGCGGCGGCCGCGGGCAGCACCAGGCGCAGCAGGGCCACTCGTCGCAGCACGCCCTGCCTGGGGAGAAGATCTCCGACTCCGAGGTGAGTGAGGCGCCGCCCTGCCCTGCCCTGCCTGCCGTAAGATGGCGGCGGCACCCGCGCGACACCGCCGCCATCTTGTGGGGGGAGGGGTAACGTATGGGGGGGGAGCTGGGCGTCTTGTAACCCACCCACCTCCTCTCTGCAGGGCTTCAAAGCCAACCTGGCACTCCTGCGGCGCCCTGGGGAGAAGACGTACACACAGCGCTGCCGCCTCTTTGTGGGCAACTTGCCGGCCGATATCACAGACGATGATTTCAAAAGGTTGTTCGCCAAGTACGGAGAGCCCGGAGAGGTTTTTATCAATAAAGGAAAAGGATTTGGATTCATTAAACTGGTGGGTTTTTCTGCTTCCTGGTGTTTGCTTTGCATTAGCTGGCTGCGAAAGTAGAACGGTTTTGTTGAAGCTCTTCCTTCCCTCCCCGGCCTCTCTTCCTCCCTCAGGAGTCCAGAGCTCTGGCTGAGATTGCCAAGGCAGAACTCGATGATACCCCTATGAGGGGTCGACAGCTCCGTGTTCGTTTTGCCACACACGCTGCCGCTCTGTCCGTGCGTAACCTTTCACCGTATGTGTCCAATGAGTTGCTGGAGGAAGCATTTTCCCAGTTTGGTCCAGTCGAAAGAGCTGTTGTGATTGTAGACGACCGTGGTAGATCAACAGGAAAAGGCATTGTTGAATTTGCCTCCAAGCCTGCTGCTAGAAAAGCATTTGAACGGTGCACTGAAGGAGTGTTCTTGCTGACAACGTAAGTTTCAGTTTATAGCGATTTATCTGCTGTTTTGGAAATAGTAATTGCGTTATAGGAAAACAGCTCTGTGTTGTGGTCTCATAAGATTTTTAAACACAAATTGGTTTCTTCTAGAGTGAAACAAGTTCAAACCTAAAAAGATTAAAATGGATTTTTTTCTTTTAGTACTCCTAGACCCGTTATTGTAGAACCTCTTGAACAACTGGATGATGAAGATGGTCTTCCAGAGAAACTTGCTCAGAAGAATCCTTTGTATCAAAAGTATGTATTTTGTCTTCTAAGCAAGTGTCAGATTTAGTGGCTTCAGAAATGTCATGACCTAAATTTCTAATTCTATCCATAGACCTTGTTCATTTTTTTTATATATTTTAGTGTCTATTGAAGAGGCACTTATTTATGCCACTTATAAATAGGGAGGCAATTCTACCTACCATTGTTTAAACTGAAGCATTTTTTTTAGATTGATGTGCCTTTAACTGCAGCTTAACAGTTTTCAGACAGGAACATGGAAATAAAACTCGTGGGGGCAGCACAGACTGCTGAAAGAAACATGATGTATTTTACACTGGGTATAACAGAGTCCCAAAGTGACTAACTTTGGTTTTTAATGTGGCAGTAACAGCTAAATTCAAGTTTTTTTACGAAAATGGTTTTAACAAAAACAGTCTCTAACTTTTTGATGGATACAGCTTTGTATGTTACTTCTGAATGGACTGCAGATGTAAGTATTTTGAATACAGCTATTAAAATATTTTTCTTTAGGGAAAAAAAAATTCTTTGATTAATCAGCAGCTCAAAAATACAACTTTTGGTAACTTGTTAAAACATATGGAACCTGTTGTTGGACCCAGCTAATTGGCTCTCGTCTCTTTTATTTATTGAATGTAGTGGTCTGTAAGATTTAAGATTGTCTAGAACAGTGGTTTGGTGCTGCATCTGGCCAGAGCATGCAACCTAGCCCCTAATGTTCAGCTTGTGTTTTTAAATGAAGCCCCAACATGCCTCTTATGGCACTGTGATTTGAGAATTAACATGGAACCAAATACCTTAAGTGAAACTTGTTACCCAACCTATCTCTTAAATATTATATGAACAAATTTCTTATTCTCTTTGTAGGGAAAGAGAGACACCACCTCGGTTTGCTCAGCCTGGCACTTTTGAATTTGAGTATTCCCAGAGGTGGAAATCCTTAGATGAAATGGAAAAACAACAAAGAGACCAGGTTGAAAAGAATATGAAAGATGCCAAGGACAAGCTTGAAAGTGAAATGGAAGATGCCTATCATGAGCATCAGGCAAATCTCTTGCGTCAAGGTGACCAGCACAATTCTTTTATTAGAGCTTCCTTGATTGTGCTGATATGGAATAGTTGCATATGTATATGAATGCTTGCATTTAAAAAAAAAAAAAAATTGTGTAAACAACTGAATGAAATTTCAGGATGTTACTCTGAAAACCTTTTCGCTAGTTTCATTAGGTTCCTTGCTTGTACAAAATAATGACGTTTTATATGTTTACAGACCTTATGAGGCGTCAGGAAGAGCTGAGGCGTATGGAGGAACTTCATAACCAGGAGATGCAGAAACGCAAGGAAATGCAGTTGAGGTAGGTTGCAGCATGCTTGTCTGTGTTACAAATCAATCATATGCTGATATTGGTGAAGTGAATGATTTTAAACGTGTTTCACACATTAAGCTTTAGTGAAACTTTGCATAATACTTGGTTTGCAAAATTAGGTAGCTCTTGTTTCAGTTATATCCTTGACAGTTACTAGCATCAGATGGTTTGCACTGAATCTGAAGTGGCTCTGCCTCTTGCCTACTGGAAGCATGCACATTAAAAGTGTTAGGTATTCCTGTGGAGAACAAGTACATCTATATTAAGGATACATCTCTCTGAGGCTTAATGGCATGTGTTTAAATTATTAGGCAGGAGGAAGAACGTCGGAGACGGGAAGAAGAAATGATGATCCGCCAGCGGGAGATGGAAGAGCAAATGAGAAGACAGAGGGAGGAGAACTACAGTAGAATGGGTTATATGGATCCAGTAAGTGAAGAGCTCTGTGACTCAGTTTAAACTATTACTATCTAGAGAGACTTTGGGGTTTTCCCCTTTTAATTAAGAAAAGCAGAAATTGTTAATGTCAAAAGCAACTTAATACAAAGATACTAAATTGTG